AAGGTGGTTTATTTGTGGAAATTGAAATTTAGAACAATGTGGATCAGAATTATAATTCAATTAATTTTACGTTGTAAACTATAACTTGGAGATTGTAAAATTGTTGCTTGATTAAAACAATGTCGATCAGAATGATAACTTAATTAATTTTTCGAATAAATTTGCTTTAATTTTTTTAAAATTTTCATTTAAAAGTGCATTGCTTTCATTAATTATAAAGTTATTTGGTTGAAGCAAATGAATATGAAAGTAACAACCACTAAAATAAAAAATATAAGCACTGACGATAAAACGAAAAACGAAAACGTTGTCGTTTATTTTGATGTGAATTGAGTGGTTTATTTGTGGAAATTGAAATTTATAACAATGTGGATCAGAATAATAATTCAATTAATTTTTAGAATAAATTTGTCTATAATTTTTTTAAATTCTCATTTAAAAGAACATTCCTTTCATTAATTTTAACCTTTTTTGGTTCAAGTCAATAAATATGAAAGCAACAACCACTAAAATTCTATCTTGTTGTGATGATCAAAATTCTTCTATTATAAATTTTATTGGATTTAACAAATCGGGTCAATAGAATATGAAAGAAAAATGAACTTTGACATGCTGGCAGTAGAATCGCCGCTTGTTTTTAACAATATGAATAATAATTCAATAAATTTTTACACTGAATTCTTGTTAAATTTCATTTAAAAATACGCTTCTTGTTGAAAATATTTTCTTGCTTCAAGCTAATAATTATGAAAGCTATATTCAATCAATTTCTATCGTTTTTAACAATCATTTTTTTATTAATTTTATTGTTCAGTAATATTATAAGCTATATTTATTACAATGATAATGGTGAGGGTTTTGTTTTGAATTTTAAAATTTAAACAATTTTTTAAACTAATTCTTTTAAATCTCACAAAGTGATCGATATGTTCTGTATGAGTGAAACTTGTGACAATTATAGTAAAAATTTATTAAAATTAATGAATCATTCTGTTGATCCTTGTAATAATTTTTATGAATATGCATGTGGAAAAATGATTCGGAATCTAAATATATCAGACATTGGTGCTTATGGTGTCAGTGTTATGAATAATATGGAAAAGGAGGTTCGTGATCAAGTCCAATTTATTCTTGAAAATGGATGGGATCGAAGAAAAAATAAAATCAATTGTGATATTGTGAAATCTAAATCGTTAGCCGTGGAATGGGTAATTCGAATCTATCAACAATGTTTACATATGCCAAAAACAAATAATATCTTTCAATCATTTAATAAACTATGGAACAGTCTACCTATTTCAACAAAATTATCATGGCCATTAGAATCGAATAACGAATCGATAAATATGAATTGGCTTGATTTTTATGCACATTATTCAAATGTATTTGGTTATGAACCATTATTCACAATACAATTTGTAACAAGTACAACGCTTCTAATCAAGGTCTGTTAAATATTTTTTTTATTTTTCATAACACATTCACATTTACACTGCAACTTTAACTAAACTTTGACAGATAGATTTTCATTTTTCATGGAATGATGTTCATGATCAAAATAATGATATTGATTTATACCAATTGATAAAAAATTACAACAAAAACAGAATGAGTAGAGAAAAATATGAAAAAATTTTTGATGAAGTGATCGAATTGAAAAAGAAGATAGCCAATATTGTGGAAAAAACAACACCGGTGACCGTAACATATAGAGTAGAATCATTCCTTAAGCACATCAGATTGAATTGGAAAAGTTTTTTTGAAATAATCTCAACATTAAATACTGAACAATCATTAAAACATTCTAATATTATCGGTGATAATGATTTTATCCTTGTTTACCATTCTGATGCTATTCGTAAAACTCTCGAAGTCATACAAAAAACATCCAAACATGTTGTTTTCAATTATTTTTGGCTCAAAGCTTTATCATATTGGTGGAATGAAGTTCAACCTAAAAATCAAGACAGTTGTTATAGAATTTTCGATTCTGCTGAATTTCCTTTAATATTAGCAATCAATCGGTTATATGTTGATTATTCATTGAAAAATGGCTCAAAATCAAAGCTAGTTCATATGTTCCATCAATTGAAACGGTCAGCCATTGAATCTATGGAAAAAAATACGATAATAGATGAGAAAACTCGACAACGAGCAATTGAAAAACTCCGAAACATCATTGATATTATTGGCTTTCCTGAATGGCTTATTATTGATGAACATCTTGATGATTTTTATGGAATTCATGGTTCTCTTGATTCATTGATTGCACATCATTATTGTATTTCATATATTCGACTAATGAGATACTTTAAATATCAAATGTTTCGAATAATGAAAAATAAGGATTTCAGTTTTCGAGAGTAAGATGCATGATTAATAACCAAATGTATATTTTTTCATAAAAGTTATATTCTTTTTTCCAGAATCAATTTTTCCCCATTAATGGCTAATGCTTTTTATAACCGTCATAGAAATAGTATTGGTAAGATTATATTAATTTTTGAAATAATAGAAATTGTATTGATTTTTTTATCATTACTAGAAATTGAACCCACATTATTAAAATTACCATTGTTTGATGCTGAACTTCCATTTTATGTGAATTATGCCAAACTAGGTTCTATAATTGCGCATGAAATTACACATAGTTTCGATAAAGAAGGTATTAATTATGATAAAAATGGAGTTTTCCAAGAATGGTGGACAAACAAATCATTGCGAAATTTCGAAAATAGAACACAATGTTTTATTGAACAATATAGAAATTACAGTGAACATTCATATGGACTCTGGCGAAATAATTCAACATTGAGTGAAGATATTGCTGATAACGGTGGTTTACGTCTTGCATATATGGCATATCAAAATGAATTAAAAAGTGTTCCAAACCTTGGAAAGCAACCACAATTATTGCCAAGATTAGTTGACAAAAAAATGACTGTTGATCAAATATTTTTTCTATCATTAGCCCAGGTAAAAATCATATTTAACGAATTTTTCACAACCTAATGATTTTACATTTTTTTTTTTGTATAAAATAGATAGAATGTGGGGTTCTAACAAATGTTCAATTAAAAGATTTGATAAACAAACATTACCATTCACCACCAGAATCTCGTGTCAATTTATGTATGCAAAATTTTGATAAATTCGCAGAAAGTTTCAATTGTTCGATGGGATCACCAATGAATCCAAAAAAACGTTGTCTTTTATGGTGATGATGACAATTATCAGAGTAATTTTTGTTACTATTATGAAGTATAAATGATGGCAAGTGAATCCGAATCAGAAAAAATAACAATCAATATATATTTGACTTGATAATAAATTTTTTAATAAATTATAAGAAGATCATAGATATATATCTAGATTTTTTAAAACTTAGCCTTAATTTATTAACACTTTCGTTTAATAATTGTTGTCAAAAAGTTGTGTTGAAAACATTTTGTTCTTCGTATACATAATGTTTTCTGATATTTTTAAATATTTTTAAAAATGAACTTTATTTAACGTTGTAAACTATAACTTGGAGATTGTAAAATTGTTGCTTGATTAAAACAATGTCGATCAGAATGATAATTCAATTAATTTTTTCTAATAAATTTGCCTTTAATTTTTTTAAATTTTCATTTAAAAGTGCATTGCTTTCATTAATAATAAAGTTGTTTGGTAGAAAAATGAAGGCAACAACCACTAAAATTCTATCTTTTTCATCGATCATATTGTTGATAACGTTATTATTTAGCAATATTGTGCATCATAATTACTACCATGATAGTGGTAAGAATTTTTTCGGGCAAAAATTTCAGTTTGAAAATAATTTTCATCTAATTATCTCCCACCTTACAAAGCGATGTTCTGCAGGACTGAAACCTGTGATAAATATAGTGAAAATGTACTTAAATTAATGAATAATTCGGTTGATCCATGTGACAACTTTTATCAATATGCATGTGGAACAATGATTCGGGATCAAAATGATTCCCAAATACATTTTTTTACAAAAGATTTGCAAAACGGAGTTTATGATCAAGTCAGATATATCCTTGAAAATGGATGGGATAAAAGGAAAAAAAAGAAAAATAGAAAAATTGTTAAATCTAAATCGTTAGCAGTGGAATGGGNGGCGATTCGAATCTATCAACAATGCTTACATAGACCAAAACCAGATGATGTTTTGCAAACATTTGATAAACTATGGAATAGTCTGCCGATTTCACCAGAATTATCATGGCCATTGGAATCGAATAACATTTCAATAAATATGAATTGGCTAGATTTTTATGCACACTATTCAAATATTTTTGGTCATGAACCATTATTCAGAGTTGGTTTTAATTTAGGATATGTCCCTACAATCATGGTGTGTTCACCTTAATATATTCTTAGTTTCAATTCTCCATCATTGACACTGTATAACGACAACTTTTTACTTTGACAGATTGTTTTTCGTTCTTTGAAAAATGCTACTCATGATTATCATATTTTGTACAATTTAGTCACGAAAAACAATACAAAGAAAATGAATAATGAGAAATATCAAAAAATTGTCGATGAAGTGATTGATTTTGAGGACAAGATTACAAATTTTAAAAAAGGGAAAAGAACAGGTCAAATATTTTTAAAAGATTTGGAATCTGCTACGGGTTTGAATTGGAAAAGTTTTTTTAAAATAACATATGATGTGGGAAAATCATTGGAGAATGGGAAAAATTCTACGAATTTCAGTGGCGATGAAATAATTTGGGTTGGACGAGTAGATGGGCTTGTTAATTCTTTCAAAGTCATTCAAAACACTCCCGAACATATTGTTTTTAATTATTTTTGGCTGAAAGCAATAACATATTTGTTGAATGAATTTCAACCTAAAAATCAAGAAACTTGCTTAAATATCTTCTTATCTGATCAATTTCCATTAAGCTTTGCAATCGCACGCTTATATGTTGATTATTCATTAAAACCTGGATCGAAATTAAAAGTTATACATATGGTCAACCAATTAAAACGATCGGCTATCAAATCGATGAAACAGAATACATTATTTGACAATGTGACACGTAAAAATGTTATAAAAAAACTTCGTACTATCATTGATGTCGTCGGTTTGCCAGAGTTGTTTATTGTTGATGAATATCTTGATAAGTATTATGGTGTTTATGGTTCGATTAATCAATTGATTGCCGATAATTATTGTGAATCATATGCTAAACTGTTAAGCTACTATAAATATCTGAAGATTCGATTTATGAAAAAGGATGATATTAATATTGAAGAGTAAGAAAATATGATTATAAGCGAATCTATTTTGTTTAATAAAAGATCATTTCAAATTTTTTAGACTTTATACTTCTTCACCATTCATGATAAATGCTTTTTATAGTCCTTTGACAAACCATATCGGTAAGACCTTATTTATTTTCGAAATAAATAAAATTTAACGAATTTTCTCTATCCATAGAAATAAAACCAACATTTATAAGATCGCCATTATTTGATGCAGAACTGCCGTTTTATGTTAATTACGGAAAAATGGGGTATGTAATTGGTCATGAAATTACACATTGTTTCCAAGAGTATGATATTCCAAGTAAGGGAGGAGAAAAAACTAGGATGAATTTTAATAATAGTTCACAATGTTTTATTGAACAATATCGGAATTACAGTGAACATTCATATGGTCTTTTTGGAAATATTTCTACATTAAATGAAGATATTGCAGATAATGGTGGTTTGCGGCTTGCATACATGATATATCAAGCTGAATTGAAACGTATACAAAACCTTGGAAAGCAACCTGAATTATTGCCACGATTAGTTGCTAAAAAAATCACAATTGATCAAATATTTTTTCTATCATTAGCTCAGGTAAAAATAAAATATTTTCTTCCAAAATAGTAATACAACCATTCTTGTGAAAAATAGTTATATTGTAGGACACTTACACGAGATCGATTGCTTAAATTGTTAAATATAGATCCACATTCACCATCAGAATCTCGTGTAAATGTATGTTTTCAAAACTTTGATAAATTTGCAGAAAGTTTCAATTGTTCGATTGGATCGCCAATGAATCCAGAAAAACGTTGTTTTTTATTGTGGTGATCACTATTCTACTATTATATCGTTTTATTGGATTTAACAATTCTGATCATTGCAAGACCAAAGAAAATAGAATGTTGTCGTGGTGGCAGGAAAATCGCCGCTTGTTTATAACAATGTGTATCCGAAAAATAATTCAATTAATTTTTCTAATAAATTTGCCTTTAATTTTTTAAAAATTTTCATTTAAAAGTGCATTGTTTTCATTAATAATAAAGTTATTTGGTAGAAATATGAAGGCAACAAGCACTAAAATTCTATCTTTTTCATCGATCATATTGTTGGTAACTTTATTATTTAACAATATTATGCATCATATTTACGACCATGATAGTGGTAAGAATTTTTTCATGCTAAAATTGTAGCTTCAAAATAATTCTTCACTTTATTCTCTTCCTCATTAAAAGCAAATGACTTGTTCTGCATAAGCGAAACATGTGATAAATATAGTGAAAATGTACTTAAATTAATGAATAATTCTGCTGATCCATGTGACAACTTTTATCAATATGCATGTGGAACAATGATTCGGGATACAAGTGATTCCGATCCGGACATTTTTACAAAGGAGTTGGAAGAAAAAGCTCGCGGTCAAGTCCGATATATCTTAGAGAATGGATGGGATCAAAGAAAAAATGAGAGGAATAGAAAAATAGTTAAATCCAAATCGCTAGCAGTGGAATGGGCGATTCGAATCTATCAGCAATGCTTACATAGACCAAAACCAGATGATGTTTTGCAATCATTTGATAAACTATGGAATAGTCTACCGATTTCACCAGAATTATCATGGCCATTGGAATCGAATAACAACTCGATAAATATGGATTGGTTGGATTTTTACGCACACTTTTCCATTGTTTTTGGTTATGAACCACTATTCAGAGTTGGTGTTTGGATGTTTTTTAAGATAAATATCAAGGTGTGTTTTTGAAATATTAATATTTTCATTTCGCTGCCATTCACACTGCATAACGACAAATTTTAACTTTAACAGATTGATTTTGGTTCTTTGGAGAATGATACTCATAATTATCATATTTTGTATGATTTAGTGACCAAAAATAATACAGGGAAGATGAGTAAAGAAAAATATGAAAAAATAGTCAATGAAGTGATTGATTTTGAGGACAAAATTACAAATTTTAAAAAAACAAAAAAATCTGAAACAAGTTCTAAATCTTTGAAAAAAATTAGCAATGATACGGGGTTAAATTGGATAAGTTTTTTCCAAATAACATATAATGCGGGAAAATCCTTTGGGAATGTGAAAAATTCTGCGAGTATTAGTGGCGATGAATTTATTTCCTTTGAACCCGGTGATCCACTTGTTAATTTTTTCAAATTCATTCAAAACACTCCTGAACATATTGTACTCAATTATTTGTGGCTGAAAGGAATAATATATTTGTTGAATGAATTTCAACCTAAAAATCAAGAAACATGCCCTAATATCTTCTTATCTGATCAATTCCCATTGAGCTTCGCAATCGCACGCTTATATGTTGATTATTCATTAAAACCTGGATCGAAATTGAAAGTAATTCATATGGTCAACCAATTGAAACGATCGGCTATCGAATCAATGAAACAGAATACATTATTTGACAATGAGACACGTGAAAGAGTTATAAAAAAACTTCGTAACATCATTGATATTATCGGTTTCCCCGAGTTCATTATTGTTGATGAATATCTTGATGAGTATTATATAGTTCATGGTTCGATTAATCATTTCATTGGAAATAATTATTGCGAATCATATGCAAAACTGTTAAGCTACTATAAATATCTAATGTTTCGATTGATGAAAAATGATACCTGTATTGAAGAGTAAGAATCGATGATTATAAACGAATATATTTTGTTTAATAGATGATCGTTTCTATTTTTTTAGAATTATTTATTTTTCACCATTAAAATTAAATGCTCATTATCTTCCTGAAATAAACAGCATCGGTAAGACTTTATTCATTTTAGAACTGATAAACTTTAGAAAATTTTTTTCTCAATATCTATAGTAATTAAACCAACATTTTTAAGATTTCCTTTATTCGATGCCGAACTGCCGTTTTATGTGAATTACGCAAAAATAGGTTCTATAATTGGTCATGAAATTACACATTGCTTTAAAAAGGATGATATTAAAATTGATAAGAATGGAGGAGAAAAATTTGGGACAAACAAAACTCTGAGAAATTTTGAAGATAGTGCCCAATGTTTTATAGAACAATATCGAAATTACAGTGAACATTCATATGGTCTTTTGGGGAATATTTCTACATTGAATGAAGATATTGCTGATAACGGTGGTTTGAGTCTGGCATATATGGCATATCAAGATGAATTGAAACGTATTTTAAATCTTGGAAAGCAACCACAATTATTGCCACGATTAGTTGACAAAAAAATGACAATTGAACAAGTATTTTTCTTATCATTAGCCCAGGTAAAAATCAGATCATCAAAANTATTTTTAAATAATTAGTGATCAAACAATTCTTGTATAACATAGAATCAGTGTCGGTCTTTTACTCGAAATGAATTAAAATTTTCGATCCAACAAGATCCACATTCACCCGGAGAATCTCGAGTCAATTTATGTATGCAAAACTTTGATAAATTTGCAGAAAGTTTCAATTGTTCGATTGGATCGCCAATGAATCCGAAAAAACGTTGTTTTTTATGGTGAGGATAAGTGGTTCATTTGTTAATGTCGGTATTGATTAATCATATTTATTAAACATTTTAATCAAAAAATTCCTGAATTGAAATTGAGATTTTTAACAATGTCGATCATAATAATTCAATTAATTTTTCGAATAAATTTTCCTTAAATTTTTTTAAAATTTCCATTTAAAATACATTCATTTCTTTGATTTTTACATTATTTGTTTCAAGTTACTAAATATGAAAGTAACAAACACTAAAATTATAGCTTTTTCATCGATCATATTGTCGATAACGTTATTATTTAGCAATATTATGCATTATATTTACGACAATGATAGTGGTAAGTATTTTTTATGCAAAAATTGTAGCTTCAAAATAATTCTTCACCTTATTCTCTTCCTTATTAAAAAGCAAACGACTTGTTCTGCATAAGTGAAGCATGCGATAAATATAGTGAAAAAGTTCTAAAATTAATGAATAATTCGGTTGATCCATGTGACAACTTTTATCAATATGCATGTGGAACAATGATTCGGGATCAAAATGATTCCCAAATACATTTTTTTACAAAAGATTTGCAAAACGGAGTTTATGATCAAGTCAGATATATCCTTGAAAATGGATGGGATAAAAGGAAAAAAAAGAAAAATAGAAAAATTGTTAAATCTAAATCGTTAGCAGTGGAATGGGCGATTCGAATCTATCAACAATGCTTACATAGACCAAAACCAGATGATG